TGGAAAATCACATATATTATTTTAACCGTGATCACATACATCTCTTATTCCTTACTCTGGAGTGAAAAGTGTGAAATAGTTTCAAACTCATTTGAGTTGCCTGTTTTGTCAGAAGATAACCCAAAAGGAATGTACAGTTCCCTCTCCTAACTAAAGAGTTGTTGTTGTTGTATTTATGTATGTATGTATGTATGTATGGCTGCATCGGGTCTTCGTTGTTGAGCGTAGGCTTAGTTGTGGCGAGAGGGGGCTACTCTTCATTGCGGTGCACGGGCTTCTCATTGCAGTGGCCTCTTGTTGTGGAGCACAGGCTCTAGGCACGCGGGCTTCAGTAGTTGTGGTACACGGGCTCAGTAGTTGTGTCTCGAGGGCTCTAGAGTGCAGGCTCCGTAGTTGTGGCGCATGGGGCTTAGTTACTCCGCGGCATGTGGGATCTTCCCAGACCAGGGCTTGAACCTGTGTCCCCTGCATTGGTAGGCAGATCCTTAACCATTGCGCCACCAGGGAAGTCCCTAAAGAGGTTTTTGATTTATGATGCTGATCAAAGCATTTGTCCAAGGAAACCGTAAGAGTTTATCCTCTGACTGACTTTGACAGAGTGGACATTTGATGAGGACTCATTGAGGGTGATGAGACACAGGCAGGACCTGGCGTTCACAGAGGTCTTCTCAGGGTGGAAATGGTATGTAGATACATTTTTAGAATGTTGGTCACCCAGTTTTAGCTTTCTATGAGAAAAAAGGCAGATATAAGGAAAATGCCAGAAAAGGCAGAAGGCAATCTAAAGGCAAAAGGTAGTCTCCTGTCTTCCCCACATCACTTTTCTAGGAGAGGATGACACTGGTTCAAACCCCTAGCACCTACCTCGTCTTGTAGGAGTCCTACGGGATTTTTCCGAAGTCACCAATTTGCAAATAATATAGCAAAGACTAGAGCTAGTCTAGTATCTTTCCCACTGTGGCAAATGAGTAAGGCTGCCCAAACAGATTTTTTTTTTTTTTTTTTTTGCGGTACTCGGGCCTCTCACTGTTGTGGCCTCTCCCGTTGCGGAGCACAGGCTCTGGACGCGCAGGCTCAACGGCCACGGCTCACGGGCCCAGCCGCTCCGCGGCATGTGGGATCCTCGCGGACCGGGGCACGAACCTGTGTCCCCTGCATCGGCAGGCAGATTCTCAACCACTGCACCACCAGGGAAGCCCCAGATTTTTTTTTTTTTTAACTTTCTAGAAAGCTCTGGATTCAAGTTCCAGCTCTGCCACTTTCAAGCTACATAATTTGGAGCTCACTTTGTGAGACTCAGTTTCCTCATTAAAATGAGGGCAATAAAGAAGTGCCTTCCTCATGAGATTGATGTGTGAATTAAATGAGATGATTCAAGTAAATTGTTAAATGTAGGGCTTAGTACATCATAGGTACTCCATAAGTGGTTCACTGCAATCATATTATTAGCTTTACAAAGAGTGATAAAATATGGCTGGCTACTGAGAAAGCAAGAAACAGGGTGTTTGCAGTGAATTCACCTTGGAGTGGGTTACCCATCATGCCACTTTCTCAGGACTGCCTGTTTTCTAGGGTTCAGTCCCACACTGTCCTGCCAGAGCCAGTTTCTCTCCAAAGGAATCCCTTCCCTCCTTTGGTTGGCACCTTTTTCCCAGCTCTTGGAAAGTGCCCAAGGACATTGATTTTTTCCACACACACCCCCTTTCCTCCATCTGTCTGACTCAGCTGCCTGGTGCTCAGTTGTGGTGACTGTCTCCTCCCCACTTCCCGCCTTCGCTGCCCTCTGTCTGGACCCCCACTTGACTTCTCTTCATTTCTGGTGTGGGCACCAGCTAGGACCTAAGGTAAAGCCATTTCCTTGGGTCTCATTACTTAAAATGTGCCTGGGAACTGAGTGTGATGGTTCTGCTCTGTTTGCCGAGGTTTTACGTAATTGGAGAGGGGTTCTATTCATCCCTTCCTGCCTCTGTCTCTCATGGAGCTTGGAACATGATTAAGAGGTGCTCAGTGAATGCTTGTTAAAATTTTTGAAAAGCTGAAACGAGTTCCCATTGACCCTTGGAAGCAGAGTCATATATTACCTTCCAGCCCTGAAGTCAGTATTTGTTAGAGATTCATTATTTTGTTAAGACTGGAGTTTTTAAGATAGAATTGTTAAAAATCCATTTGAGAGTCAGTTTTTTGTTTTGTTTTTTTTGGCTGCCCCATGTGGCATGAAGGATGTTAGTTTCCCCACCAGGAATCGAACCCCTGCCCACCTGCAGTGGAAGCCGGAGTCTCAACTGCTGGACTGCCAGGGAAGTCCCCAGTATTTTCATTTCTTTGTCCACCCATTTGCTATGTCATTCTCTCCCATTTCCAATACAGAATTTATGCCCATCCTTAAAGCTCAGTGTGAGCCTCTCCAGTCCTTTTCCTGACCCCTCCCCCTTGTACACCAGACTTTTAAATGCCTTTGTGTCTGTGAATTCGTTTTCTACTTAATGTGTGCCCCTTGGAAGGCAGGGCCTATGTCAGCCCTTTTCTCTCTCCCTGTCATCCTTTATTTATCTTTCCCTTATATTTCCCTTTCTCATCTCACTAAGCAACCACCTTACAGCTGGAGACTGTCAGAGTCTCCAGTCACTGTCCAGCCCTAGCTTATTAGCTGAGCCCCAGAGTGACATTGCTAAGTCCTGATAGTAGGCTGTCTAGAGCCACTAACTCAGCCTGTCCAAAATGGAACTCCTGTCAGAGGGAGGTGGCCAGATTGGCTGGGTCCCAAGATTTCTAGTAGACGATCAGGATATGGCCATGACATAGCCAAGCCAAGGACTGTATTTCGTGTGAAATCCAAGAAAAACCATCTGTCCTTCCTGACTCCCTGCTTCTGTTACTGGACCCATGGTTCTCCCAGGTCCTTAGGCTTGAAGCCTTTGGGGATTCTTGCCTCTCCATTCAACCATTTTCCCAGTCCCCGTCCTCAAACTTTATTTGTACTTATGTCCTGAAACAGGTCTAAACCAGCCTCCCAGCTCCTTTTCCTTCCACTCACGAGAAAGCCCATACTCTTGACTACTCACAAACTAGACTTCCTGGTGTATGTACACCCTGTCTCCTTGTTAACCTTGCACAGACAGCCTCAGGGTCTGTTCCCTGCCCCGCCCCCCATATACACTCCTCATCGCCATCATACTGCCCTGCCCTACACCAGCCCACACTTAACTGATAGGAGGAACCTGTTCTCTTTGCATTTTCTACTGCAGCCTTCAGAAGGGATGTGGCCTAAGGCATATAGTCCCCCATTGGATTAGGTGCCGTAACTGGAAAGATCATAAAAAGAGAGTTTTGATCACTTTATGAATATTACTTTTACATAGAGATCAGTAGAGCAGAGTGATGTGTTACTACTCATGGTATTCGGATTCCTGCATCAGTTAAATCATACGTGATAGGGGTCAGAGACCTTCCTGGAAGTGCTCACAAACCTCTGGTTTCAATTCCACTCTGCCTGCTGTTTCTGGCTCCTAATAGGCGGTGAGCTGAGGGCAGGAACTATCATGTTCACCTCTGCATCGAGTGCAGTAGCAGACAGTGGACATTCAGAAATTGTCTCCCGTTGGGAATTATGCAGAGGCTGCTTTACTCTGCCCTTGCTTGCTCAACTAGGCCATGAAGCAGCAGCTTAACATGTGTTTTCCCCATCCCCCCCCCCCCCCCGCCGAGCTGGAGGCCCATGTCAGGTACTGGACCTATTTGGGGTTGTTCAGCAAGCAGCCTTCTGTCTTACTTCAAGGGGACTTGGAGAACTTATATGTGCTTCATTTTTATTTTCTGCTTTTGCTGGTCAGCTAAAAAGAGTTGCTCCTTTTTTAGGTCTCTAGCACAACCAAGTGGGCAGCTCCATCGAGGGCCTAGGCGTTTTTATGTATTATTTCATTTGCCCCCATAATAGAGTTAACTGTGCAACAGCAAGTGCCCTGATAGAGCCGGACAGTGTTGGTGGGAGTTCTCAGTCTTCCAAGCTTACAGTTTATGTTTGGTGCTTGTTTTCCCTTGCTCCAGATTCTGCCTGATCAATGCAGGTGTCCTGTACCTCTACTTCAGCAACTACCTACAGATAGATGAGGAAGAGTATGGTGGCACGTGGGAGCTCACAAAGGAAGGGTTTATGACATCGTTTGCCTTGTTCATGGTATGTGTAGCTGGTAATTTCACAGCAGGTTTTGTCATTTCCTGAGATGTCAGTTATTCAAGGGGAGCCCCTTGACTGAGTTACAGTGTGTGATGTGGGTACCATTTTTCAAGACTCCTGAGGCTGGAGGGCATGTCCTTTCTTGAGTTAATGTCCCAAAAGATGTGTTGTGATACACTGTATAGTCTCCCTGTGGTGAGCAAATCCAGAGCTCATTGTCAGTTTCTACATCTAATTCTCAACTCTGGCTGCATATTGAAAACTGGAAAACATTTAAAAATATATTCATAACAGCCAAAAAATGCAAACAGCCGTCACCCGATGAATGGCTAGATAAAATGTTATATACCCAGACAGTAGAATATTACTTGGCCGTAAAGAGGAATGAAGAACTGGTACATGCTACAAGGATGAACCTTGAAAACATTCTGCTAGGTGAAAGAATCCAGACACAAAAGACCACATGTTGTATGATTCCATTTATGTGAAATGTCCAGAATAGGCAGATCCATATGGATAAAAAGTAGATTAATGGTTGCCAGTGGCGGCGGGGAGGGGAAATGGGAAGTAACTGATAATGGGAATAGATTTTGTCTTCAGGGTGACGCAAATGCTCCAAAATGTTTTCACAACTCTGAACATACTAAAAAACCTCTGAAGTGTATACTTTAAAAGGGTAAACTTCATGAAATATGAATTATATCTCAAAGTTATTTTTAAAAAATTATAGAACCTAGCCCAAACAATGAAATCAGAATCTCTGGGAGGTGGCGCCCAGGCATCTCGCCGTATGTTTTTAAAGAGCCCACAAGGTTGCAAAGGCGAGTCAGGTTTGAGAACCTCTGCTTTATTTGATATGAAGCTGACAGGATATGATGTAGTTTTGTTTTCACGTTTGTTGCTAATGCTGACACCTACTAGCAGTACAGTTTGCTTTACCTGTACCATTTCCACACCTATAACTCTAAGCCCTCGCACTCTGGTCTCTGTTTGGCAAGGGGAGAGACTTGTCCAGGGTCCCTTTGGGAGCACAGGACGGTGGTCCTGGGCTCTATTAGACAGCTTGATTTCGGTGCTCTTGTCCCAAGCAGCTTGTGCATTGGCTAGCCCCCGGGAAGTACACTGTGCGCACGCTCTTAGGATGCTTTTGTTTTGTGGAACGGGAGCCTATGTTGACCCTGTTGGTGAGGGAGCCCATGAACATTGCTTGTTTCCTCTCTAGGTCATTTGGATCATCTTTTACACTGCCATCCACTATGACTGACGGTGCACAGTCCCCACCTGCTCCCTGTCTGGTCCAAAGGACCCTCTTAGTTACACCACAGAAACACGATTGTCGGGGGGCACCCCAGCCACGCGGAACCTGGAAGACCCGTGTTTCCTGGACCGAGAATCAGTGTGTTGGGCGTCAGTGTTTTCTGCAAGGGTTGTGGCCTGAAACTTTTTAAAGAACCATCCACCTTTTGGGGAAGCATTTCTGAATTGTCCATCACCAACCGTTTCTTCTTGGATACCATCATGAAACACCTGTTTGCCGATTGGAGCTGTCCTTTAATTTGGTGCACATCTGGATCCGGATGAAACATTAAATTGTCTTCCTTTTCCATCAGGTGTACGGTTTTTAAACTACATCAAACATTGGCATTTCAAGTCTTCTGAAAACAGTATGGCAGTATGTGCGTGGTCCATAGCACAGTACAAGCAGCATCTAATAACAGTTTTCGTTGTAGAATGTTTTCAGGTACTTGAATAAATCAGATCTTTAATTGAGCCCCTGTTGGTGATACCTGGTAAAGCCTTTCCCACCTCACCTCTAGCCTCAGAGCCCAACAGGAGCAATAGAGGTGGTGCCCTCCCATCCCCTTCCCTCTTCCCCCTTCCCTTTTCCTCCTCTCCCTGCTCCCTTAACAGCTCTATCCAGGCTTCTTTCCCTTAATGTGCAGCAGGGAAGTCAAGGGCTGGAGTTGGTGTAGGCTGTGGCCTCGACTTTGTGGAGGGAGGGCTTACCACCTGATGCCCTGATGCCCCCGCTCAGCACTGAGAGACGTGACTGAGCTCACTGCGGTGTGCTAGGCTCGGGTGATGTCTTTTGCATTTGGCTACAAGACGGCAAGGCTGTTGTAGCCAAGAAAGCTTAGCCAGGTTCAAATGATGAGCCACAAGATGAAAGATCTGAGAGCTAGGACTGTCCAGAGAAGGGGCTTAATGCGGACGTGGAGGACCTGGACGGTCAGAGGTCCTGCTCTTTGCCGTGGCGGTCAGGTGGAAGCTGGAGAGCCCAGGTTGTGCTGCCGTCTAAGCCACCCATCCCCTCTTCTTCCTGTCCCTTCTAGGCCGTAGTTCTACCTTCTGAGATGTGGTGGCATTCTGAATGAGACTGGTCAGTTTTCCTTAAATGATTATTTTTTTCTCCTTGATGCTAGTGGGCATTCTCTACCTTGTGGGAGTGGTTGTGGGGATGTAGAATGAGACTCGACAGGCAGAGGGAGGAAGGTGGTACTGGGACTCCCAAACTCGGGAACTGGCTGGGTCACACCGAGGACATCTAGTCTCTCTGGAGTCCTGGCCCTGTTCTTAACTGGTCTTTACTTGAACTAGAGGCTGTAGGTCGGGTCATGGCACTGGGAGGAGTTTAGGTGACTTCTTAGGGCTGAGAGAGGAAGGAACAGAGGATAGAGGTGGGACTCTGGCTGTGCCTCTGTGTCCCAGCCCTTCCCTCACTCTGCAGTCTTTGCCTCTGGGGTGCTCAGTCAGGCTGAGCTGAGTTGGGGTTCTAGGTGCTGCAGCCTTGGTTCCCCTTTCGGCCTCTGCTTTGGGCCTTGGCATCGTCCAAGGAGATGTCATAAGTCAGGCTGATGTAGGAGCTAAGGGCCTCCCGGAGTCCCTCACTGAGGGGGGACTCCTCCCCTGTGGCAGATGCTTCAGAGAACAGGAGAGAGCTGTGGAGAGGGGGAAAGAGTTGCATCAGGGAGCCTCACCCTCCTCCATGCACCTACCACATGGTTCCCTGTTCTCAAAACCTGCTGAAAAACTCACAGTGGTTCCCTGTTCCTAGTCAGATCAAACTCCCCTTCACTTCACTCAGGACTGGTGCTCTCTGTTGTACCCTATCTTGTCTGACCTTCCATCCTGGCCACCTTGGTGCCCAGGCATGCCCCATATCCATGCCCACTTTGGCCTCCCTGCTAGTCCCCGCAGCAGACCCGCTGAGCCTGGGCTGGCCTGAGTTCAGTCAAGGCTTATTGGCTCCCAGGTGTCCCTGAAGGTGACAGGCCCATTCTGGGTTCCCAGGGGTGGGTCCTTCTAAGTCTCCTTTGTTCTGCCTTCACGCCCCAGGGGCTTCTCACCTGTCCAGCTCTTTCCAATTGAGTGATGTCCTCTGCACAGTCACAGGTGGAGGTACGGACTTGCCGGGGGGTGGGCCGGCCCTCCGCAGGGCACAGGGCTCCTTGAGTAGGCAGCAGATGTCATCCGCCAGCTCTGAGGAAGAGACCTAGACCCCTGACATGGCTGGCCCCAGCCCTGCCTTCCTCCCCAACAACTCCACCCTCACCCTGACAGCTTTCCACACTTGGCAGGTGGGAGCATGAGCCCCAGGCTGTTAATCTGGAAGCTGACATGCAGTCAAAGGTCATTCTTGGCTAGGTTTCGGGAGACTTAATTGACCGTGTGATTTCAGGTAAGTTGATGGACCTCTTTGAGCCCCAGTTTCTGGTTAGAAAAGCGCTTTGGAAAGAAGAAAGCTAAGGGATGATCAGTCTCTACTTGTTCTGTCAGTATCTGCCGCATGGAATGACTGTCCTGAAATCCCCCGATCAGTTTTCCCAGTAGTAGTCTTTCCTCTCCGCTTCTCTGACACGCTGCTGTAGTGGCTGCAGTGCCTGATACAGAACAGGCACCAGAAAATGCTGAGAATCAACTCAATTCCACAACAGCAACAGCTCTGGGCCTTGTTCCTGTGGAGAGAACTGTGCCAGCCATTGGGGACTTTGACTCAGAACCACAGTGGCGGGTGAGGCACTGGCCTGCACTAACATGGGACACCTCCGTGGCTCTGTTGGCACGAGATGAACTTGGGGCTTCCGGGCTGTGTTTCTTGGCACAGGGACTGGCATGGAGAGAGGGGCGGTCCCTCTTCTGCCTAGATATTCTCCAGCAGGCAAAGTGTCTGAGGGTATGACTATCTTCCCCAAAGACCCACATCCCAGTCTGTTCTCATGGAGGTAGGGGATGGCCATACCAGAGTAATGGTCCACCAGGGCCTGGAGTGAGGGGAAGGTGAGGCGTGGTGAGATGTACAGCCAGCCATTGTCAAGGCGTTGGATCTTGTAGTGTCTGATCCGGTCCCGGGATGCAGGGCGGCTGAGGCGGACCGACAGGGAGTAACAGCCTGAGAAGGAAAGGGTCCGGGGTGGGATTAAGGCCATGCTGGGACCAAGCCCAGCCCAGGATGGGAGAAGGAAGACATGAAATGGCCACAGAGAGTGGGCGCTGGGCCCAAACGAGGGAAGGGGGAAGGGAGGGACAGAGACTTGCTCTCTTGCTCATAAATGACAACACACTTATCATAGCTAGGGCTCTCGTGAGGAGGAAACAAGGTCATGCACACAGGGTTCAGAACAGGGCCTGCCACAGTTTAAGTGAGCATTAAGTGTTGGCTGTTATTATAAAGACTCAAGTGGGCAGAAGTGTTAGGATGTGAAAATGTGTCAGTAGATGTCAGCAGGGATGTGGAGAAAGGAATTCTTACCCTGCTGGTGGAAAGATAAATTGTATAAGCCACTTTGGAAACAGTTGGCATTAACTAGTCGAGTTGAACATGCTCATACCTCACAACCCAGCCGTTCCATCCCAGCATGATGCCTTGCAAATACATGAACAAAAGTATCATAGCAGCATTGTTCGGAAAAGCCCCAAACTGCAAACAGCCCATATAGACTCGAGAGGATGGTAGATTCTAGAACGTAACACTATTCGGCAGTAAAAGTTAATAACCACTACACACATCAGCTAGATAAATGTGTAAAACAATGAGCAGAAACAGCGAGTCACAGAAGCATACGTTCAGTATGATTCTATTTAAATAAAGTTCAGAGGCAGCCAAGACTACTGCATAGGGATGCATGTATGGCAAAACTATGAAGAAGGGACTTCCCTGGTGGCACAATGGTTAAGAATCCGCCTTCCAATGCGGGGGAAGCAGGTTCAGTCCCCGGTCAGGGAACTAGATCCCACATGCATGCCACAACTAAGAGTTTGCATGCCACAGCTAAGGAGCACATGTGCCGCAACTAAAAGGAACTGGTGAGCTGCAACTAAGGAGTCCACCTTCCTCAAATAAGACCTGGCACAACCAGGAAAAGAAAAAGCCATGAGGAAAAGTAACTGACTAACACAGTGAAGCAGGCAAAGGGCTTCAAAGGGACTGTTGCACAATTTCTTAAGCTGGTAAGTGGGCATATGGATGTTGGTTTTGTTATTAGTCTTTTTTTTTTTGGCTGTGCCACACAGCATTTGGGATCTTAGTTCCCCAACCAGGGATCAAACCCACACTCCCTGCAGTGAAAGCACAGTCTTAACCACTTGGACCGCCAGGGAAGTCCCTGTTATTAGTCTTAAACCTATACGTGAATATTATATTCACTGATGCAAGTGACAGAATTTTTCCAGTTTTTTTTTGTTTTTTTTTTTTTTTTTTTTGGCCGAGCTGTGTGGCTTGTGGGATCTCAGTTCCCAGACCAGGATTGAACCCGGGCCTCGGCAGTGAAAGCCCAGAATCCTAACCATTAGGCCACCAGGGAACTCCCTGTTTTAGTTTTTAAAATCAACTTTATTGAGGTATAATTTATATAAAATAAATTGCGTATGTTTAAAGTGTACAGTTTGATAGGTTTCAACGAAAATTTTAATTTAAAAAAAGGATAACTGGCTAGAAGAGGAAAAGCACATGGTTGAAAATGAATAGAGAGAAAAGACTATATAAAATCATAACTATATAACTATATAAAATCCGGCCTCCAGCAGTAGTTTTCAGCAGATGAGGTTGCATACGAGTGCTCTTTATAACTGTCAAGTGGGATTCATTTCTTAACACTTCATCAAAGCCAAATGGGAAGAGGGTGCTTAGTGGAATAACAGTAATAACCTATTATTACTATCTAATTATTTAAAGCTATCTGTAGCTTTCATTTATTGAGTGCTTACTATGCACTTTTTATATGGACTATCTCGTCTAATTCTCATAACCACCCTGTGAGGTAGGTACAGTTATCCCCAGTTTACAGATGAGAAAACTGGCACAGAGAACCTGGAGGAAGAGCCAGTGACCCTGTCACTTAACCTTTCCCTGTGGAATGCCAACAAAATCCAGGAGTGACTTTCCCAAACCACAGGCAGTGCTCAGTTTTAGGAAGCTTTTACTTTGAGGAAGTGGTCTAAATACTCCATTAAAAGGCAGAGATTTTCAAACTGTATTTTAAAAAGCAAGACCCATGATAAACACATGGTAAACACACTTTGAATATTAAAACATAGGCTAAAAGTAAAAAATATGTATCATGCACACATTAATCATAGGAAAACTGGAGTGATAATATCAGAAAAGTAGAACTCAAGACCAAGGGTATTACCAGAGATAAGAGGATACCCTGAATTTGTATGCACCCAGTTACAGAGTTTCAAAATATAGAAGCAAAGCCAACAGTATTAACAGAAAAAATAGATGTCCATAATCATAATTGGAGATTTCAACACTCCTCTCTTAGTACTTGATAGGATAGAAAATCAACAGGCATACAGAAGAGTTGAACAATGCAGTCAGCCCATTTGACTTAATTAACAAACCTTGGGCCCAACAAGAGCACATGGAATATTCAAGGCAGACTATAGACTGGGCCGTAAAAACAGAAATGTAAAAGGATTGAAATAATTAAAGGTTTGTTTTCTGACCACACAGAATTATGAATTAATAACAAAAAGACATATGGAAAAGCCCCAGATGCTTGGAAATAACCCAGGGATCAAAGAAGAAATCATAAGCAAAATTAGAAAATATTTTTAACTAAATAAATAAATTTAAATAAATTTGTGAGCTCAGCTAAATCAGGACTTAAAGGTATATTTTTAGCTTTAAATCTTACACTTGAAGAAAAGAAGGCATAAAGTTTCTACTTTAAAAAGCTAGAAAAAGAATAAATTTAAGTGGAAGGAAATAAAAATAAAATAAATAGAAGACAATGGAGAAAAATCAAATGCTGATTCTTTGAAAAGATTGATAAAGCTCAAACTAGACTGATGAAAGAAAAAGAGAAACACCACACACACACAAATTACCAACATCAGGAATAAAGAGGGGACATCGCTATAGATCCTACACACATTAAAAGGATAACGGCACACTGTGAACAGCTTTATGCCAATAAATTCTACAACTTAGATGAAATGGACAAATTCCTTAAAAGACACAAATTACCAAAACTGACACAAGAAATAGAAAATTTGAATAGACCCATATCTATTGCAGAAATTGAATTCATAATTTTAAAACTTCCTAAAAAAAAAACTTCCTGGAAAGATAACTCTGGGTCCAGATGGCTTCACTAGTGAGTTCTATCAAACATTTAAAGAAGAAATAATAACAATTTTATACAAACTCTTTATATCCCAGGAATACAAGTTGATTTAAAAATTGAACGTCAGTGTTAACTCACTAAATTAGTAGAATAGAGGAGAAAAAGCATGATCACCTGCAGAAATGTAGAAAAATTTGACAACATTCAACACGCATCATGATTTTTAAAAAACAAAGAAAAAGAAAACTACAAATAGAAGGTGTAATAATTTTCTATTGCTGCTATAACAAATTACCATATATATAGTGGTTTAAAACAACAAAAAATGTGTTATCTTACAATTCTGGGGGTCATGAATCTAAAACAGGTTTCACTAAAATCAAGGTATCAGCAGGCCTGTATTTCTTCTGCAGGCTCTAGAGGAATGTCTGTTTCTTTGCCTCTTCAGTTTCTAGAAGCCCCCAGCATTCCTTAGCTCATGGCCCCTTACTCCATCTTCAAAGCCAGTAGCATAGCATCTTCCAATCTCTCAAACTCTTACCCTCTTGCCTCCATCTTATAAAGACCCTTGTGATTTCATTGGGCTCATCTGGATAATCCACGACAGACTTCCTATCTCAAAATCCTTAATCACGTCTACGAACTCTCTTTTGCAATGTAAGGTAAGTCATATTCACATGTTTCAGGGATTAGGACCTGGACATCGTTTGGGGGGGCTAGTCTGCCTACCACAGAAGGGTACTTCCTCTTAACCTGACATAGAGCATCTGTGAAAAATCTATAAGTAACATCATACTTAATGGGAAAGACTGAATTTTTCCTTCTAAGAACAAAGCAAGAATGTTCTTACCACGTTACTTGTTATACTAGAGGTCCAGTGCAGTAAGGTAAGGAAAAAAAAAAAAAGGTATATGAATTGGAAAATAAGTAGTTAAACTATATTTATAGATGTGTGATCATAGATGTAGAAAATCCTAAGGAACCTACAAAAAAGCGACGAGAACTAATAAGTGAATTTAGCAAGGCTACAGGATACAAAGTCAATATACTTTGAGAAGTATGGAGTAAGGTCCTTGCTTCCTTTTCATTGTTTTCTACCTGACTCTGGAGACTCCTTGACTCTGTACCTTTAAGAAGAATCTCTTCTGGAGCTGTGCTGTGACACTGAAAAAGCTCTGTGGTTGGGAAAGGGATACATATCTGAAACTAGGCCCTGGAAGCCAACCAACCAGCTGAACTAAGTGACCAAGTTCCTCTTTGGGGCCTGGTTCTCCAGCCACCCCACCCTGGCCACTGTCATCACAGTTACTAGAACCAGGAGGGGTCCTCACAGCTACACTGGGGATCTGACTGGTAGACTCAGAGATAATAAACAAGCTCTGTCAAGCCCATGTGGGGTTGTCCACCCTGCTGTGGGGACAGGTCACCTACCAAGGCCACCTTTGACTGCCCTGTGTGCCTGCTATCCTGCTGTTCCTTCTCACTGCTGCTCAGCTGGCCCCAGATATCTATGGCTGGCTCCCAGTTCCAGGACGTCTTTTTTTTTTTTTTTTCTTCGGTATGCGGGCCTCTCACTGCTGTGGCCTCTCCCGCTGCAGAGCACAGGCTCCGGACGCGCAGGCCCAGCAGCCATGGCTCACGGGCCCAGCCGCTCCGCGGCATGTGGGATCTTCCCGGACCGGGGCACGAACCCGTGTCCCCTGCATCGGCAGGCGGACTCTCAACCGCTGCGCCACCAGGGAAGCCCTCCAGGACGTCTTTTAAACTCGGACTCCCTGGTTTCATATCTCACCCAGAGTCACACACTATAACACCCCTA